AAGGTACAATAGGAAAAGTATTACTCATATAAAAGACAAAGACCTATAACAAAGAAGAAGATGAGTAACAATAATAATAAAGCAAAGGCAGAGAGAATCATAAGGATGATAAAGCAAAGAAAAGAAACACACACACACAAAGACAAAGAATAGAAGAAAAATATGAAAAAGAAGATGAAGAAAAAAACTATCAGGAAGAAGAAAAGGAATAACAATAATAATAAAGCAAAGAAGACAATGTGAATTGTAAGGAAGATAACAAAGAAAGGAAAAGGAAAATAAGAAAAGGATTATAACAGTAAAAATGTTAAATCATAATAAAATAATAATTGTAACAAAGAAAGAAAACTAATGAAATGATAATAACAATGATGATGATGATAATGGTAATAATAGCAATAAAGCAAAGAAGAAAATCATAAAAAAGAAGACAAAGAAATAAAATCATTAACAAGAACAAAGAAAAAAAGAAAATCATTAACAAGAACAAAGAAAAGAAGAAAATCAGTGATGCCAAGACAAAGAAAAGAAGAAAAAGGAGAAGAGGAGGAAATGAAAAGAAAGGAAAAAGTAAAAAAAGAAAAAAGAAAATTAAAGCCATCCAATACCTTGATAGGAGATAGTGAAGTCATAGGGGTTATAGAGGGTAACAATCTGCTTGTGCGTGCTGGGGTCGGCCAGGTACACCGTGATGGAAGGAGGGAACACGAACACCGGCAGCCGTCCATCCAGCCCACTTGGCTGCATCACCACATAACCTGCCAAGGAGAGGAGAGGTGAGGAGGAGGTGGTTATTTCCCGTTGATTTGTAGAAGGTAAAATTACCATTTCTTGGAGAGCAACTTATCTGTCCATCTGATAATTATGATAGTCTTTAGAGATTAGATTTCCTAGATTAATAATATACCATTAAAATATTATCTTCCTTTGGCATGTAGCAGTAATGACAGTTATCAATTATAATCCACAATGATAATTATGATAACAAAAGCAATAGCTAGAACATCATAAAGATTAGAAACAGCATCAGGAAAGTAACAAAACATCCACATCAAGTTTTAAAATAACTACCTGAAACAAAAACAACCGCTGTAAGATTTTCCAAAACTCCCCTTAAAAACGAGAATAATGGACTAAAAGTGTTTACATCATTTTCATGAGAATTTATCTTTATTGGGCTTACCTTGATATAATGAAATTAGAGTAGGTCCAAGACAAAGAAGTAAATTTTGCCATAAATTCTCCAAACAGGAGACATTTTCCCTTGTCAAATTTAATCGTAAATATGATGATTAGACTTACCACACCACACAGTGCAAAACCCGATGCACGCCATAATGACTCACTTTCCAAACCAACTTAGAGGGCATGTTACTGACCATTACTCTCTAAGAGCCATGATTTTGACTTATATAAAGATGTCTACAACATGTACATAACACCATAGATTTTTTTTTCTCCAAACTACTATAAAAGGTATTTGCACATGAGATACTTTTTTTAACTTTGCATGAAGGCTAACTTTTATACCAAAACCATATTTCAGAAATTAGATGGCTGAGTGCTTCAACGACCTAATTTTTTTTTGTGTGTAAATCAAAGATATGGCCAAAGATAAATATGATGATTACCTAAATATCCAGTCAAATTTCACATGAATTTGCAGACTTCCTACTGAGTCTCAAGAACTGATAACAGATTGATTGATATGACCAGACAAAGAGCAGAAAGGCAGATGACCTCGGCAAAGCCCTTCAAAGAGGAACTTTTTCTAGTGATTATCGTGGTTAATTTATCCAACTTCACCGGAACCTCTCTTCTGCCATAACTTGCCTGATACAAGGCGGATATCTGTTGGCTCTGTTGGAGGTGACAGGCATGAAGGTCGTGTTGAAGGTGGACATAGGGTGCCCTCTAAGCGGTTACCAAAATAACATATTGGATAATGATATCAACTCAATTTCAACATATGTTGTAAAAACACCCGTTCTATACTCTCTGCATCAAGGACTTATTCAAAGTTTAGGGATAATTTAGTAGAATTTGTAAGGAAAAGTGGGTACGTTTTACTCTATAGTTACATGCGACTCTGAAAACAGACTTGCCTTTCACATCTATTTAATGAAAATAGTATTTCTTACACACAACAACACCTTCCAAGCGCAGTTCCTTGATAATCGCAAGACGCAAAATATCTCAAGAACATAATCCTCCTCCAAAGACCCTGAACAGCTGATAAGGAAAACAACAACAAAAAAAGTATATATTTTGAATCCGACGAAAACAAGTCAATGAAGCAGGAAATATGTTTACTATTTTCCCCACCGTTACTACGCTAACACGACCCTTAAAACAAGCCCACCATCAGGAAAATGACTGAAACACCTACTTCAAAACTGCGCCCGCGGAAGCACCTACGTCTCACGCGCTCCTCAAACCACAAACAACCTTCATCTACGCGACAAAGGATTGTTTGGGCTGAACAGCTGGCCCGGTGACG